GGAACGGAACGGAACGGAACGGAACGGAACGGAACGGAACGGAACGGAACGGTACGGAACGGAATGGAATGGAACGGAACTGAACTGAAAGGAATGGAATGGAAAGGAACGGAACGGAACGGAACGGAACGGAACGGAACGGAACGGAACGGTACGGAACGGAATGGAACGGAACGGAACTGAAAGGAATGGAATGGAAAGGAACGGAATTAAATGGAATGGAATAGAATATAATAGAATAGTTTATTGGCTACGTGATACATTTGAACAAATATTTGTAGCAAGTCAAAACAAAACGTTATAAATATATCGTCATATATACAAAACATATACAAATATCACAATGCTTGTACTACAGATCAATGTACAGAATAACAAGTTCAATCAAACATCATACAACTAATGTTAAGAATGAGAACAATCGTTACTTGAAGTCGCACGAATTATCGATGTAGTATAACATATATTCATCTGTGGAATGAAAACTGTGATTCAAGAAAATGACTTCAGTTTTGGCTTGAAACAGTAGAAACTGAGTTGTGTTATGTGACATGGTAATACTCCATTTGAATATATTGTTATCTAGATCGATTAACAGTGACATAAAGATAAATTATGTTATCTGAAAATCGAGTTAGACCTTATTAGGAAGATTACACTATAACATTTTTTTCTTGAACTAGCATGATAGGAATGTACTTAAACCTCGTATTTCTATGGAAATGAAATCTACAAAATACCTAATATTGGGAATTTGATTCCAGGTTCTCTACAAAAGAATCGGCTACACATGCGATAGTCGCAGTGCACAATACCGACATCAATGGACAAATTGTGAAATGTTCATGGGGAAAGGAATCTGGAGATCCCAATAACGCACCTGTGCCTGGTCAGGTAAATATTCGAAATACTTTCAGAATACTGCAGAATGTATTGAAATCAAAACTTATCAATTATTACATATGCATCTCAGCAGGTCTGAATCTCGAATTACACACGGAGAGCTATAAACAAATTTCTTTTTCGACTATCAACTTATAACTTCACATTTCTCTGCATCAATTTCCAATCTATAACTGCTGCACCAAGCATCAAGAAATTCTAATTGAGATTGAAGATTTACACAGTCGCCTACGTCCCCAATTAAAGAAAATAACTCTAAGTAATCAGCAAAACATAACCGCTCACAAGCTAAACTTTTACATGAATAATAAAAACGTGCACTAGATCTAAACTGAGTGGTCTATACGACCCGCCACGAAGGTGTATTACCCCTCACACCTGTTCAACAAAATAAATTCAGCTTCTTATCGAAATCAATCGATTACTTCATTTGAGAATATATACTCTGCTATCTGAGTCTGCATTTCCTTCTGAAGAATAATACACCCCACGTTTGAAAGACCATGATACATTTTCCTAGATCTAGTGAGAATAGGATCGGTGCTCTGTCTGCGTTTGCTGCGTTTGCTGCGCAACCCATAAGAGTTGCGGTGGAGGTCAGGAATCCAGACCAGAGACCAGACTGTTTAGTCTTCCTATCGAGGAGAGTCTTTTTTGCCAGTTTGCTACCAATTTAGACGTTGCTCGGTGGGAGCCAAGAGCTTCCAATGCCGCTTGACTGTCCGAGAATATTTTTATTGACTTGTGAGTGAGGTTGGATTTATCCAATCTCTCCGCACACAGTTCAAAAGTGTAAATTTCCGCTTGAAATACAGTCGCATAAGTTCCTAGGCAGGTAGATAACTTTGTCCTGGGTCTGCGACTGACTGAAAACACCTACACCAGAATCGGAAGGTGTTTTCGAACCATCTGTGAACCAACAACTATCTGCTCTCAATATTTCCTTCTCCCGCAGGATGGACCTCAACCTGCTGATGGTATTTCAGCAAGATTGACATCTGACCTCCTGCGGTCGAAAGTCAGCCTTTAGATGCTTTTACTCTCGTGGTCAGTTGATTTTGATTTGTTGTGATTTTACTGTATGTAATGTTTGTATGGGGGTGCCCTCAACCTTAGAGATAAATGTCTTTCGGTCGCGAACTATTTGTTTTTGTTGGTTATCTGTTTAAAAAGTTTTTATACTTACCGGAGCCACCTGATAGCGACCCTCGGAGCTGATCGTTGGTTCTGCTTCGTGGGCCTCCTGTGTTTATCCCTTTCGCGAAATCTGGGGTCGTCCCTGTTCAGCGCTACATGTCACGCAGGGCTAGTTTGGCGTGTGTTCGTATTCTTTCGAATTCGTTTTGACGTTCTCTCTCATGTATGCGTCTACGTAGTGGATGTTACGGTCCAGGTCCCGGTAGATGATTCTGTTAGGTATTTCTCTTGGAGCGTTTACGGTAGCTCGTAAACAAGCGTTCATGAACATCTGAATACTGCGTCTATATATCGCTGCGCACTGGCCCCAGACAGTGAGGGTAGACAGAATGATAGGAATTAGTATGGTCTTTATGAGAATCAGTTTCACATGTAGACACATGTTACTCCTGCGGTCTATGATTGGGTACAGATGACGTTTTCTTCCGGGTGTACCAGCCTCGGAGGCTGGTGAACAGTATCGCCTGACTCTTGTCAGGGTTTATACTGATTTTCCAAAGATTGGCGTATTTCTCTAATCTGTCCGCTTGCTGTTGCAAGTATCTGATGACTTGCGCGTGGCTAGACGATCTCGCCAGAAAGAGCTGTGCCGTCCGCGTATAGTGCCAACTTGTTGAAGTTGTTTTTTGGCTTGGGCACGCCTGCTGTATATACCGAGAAGAGGTGTGGGGAAAGAACTGCACCTTATGGGACTCCTGCTTCCAGAAGTCGCATGGTAGAGAGTTCGTGTCCTACACTGCAACGGCATCGTCGGTCTGCTAGAAAGTATCCGATTAGTCTTACCATTCATTTCGAGTAGCCAAAATTGCTCATTTTGTATAGAAGTCCATAGTGCCAAATCTGTCAAACGCCTTGGAGATGTCTAGGAATATCGCTCCGGTGTGGTATTCTTTGCCCAGGTTGGAACCTTCAGTCGCATAGTTTACTACCCTCAGGACTTGTAGCTCTGTTGAATGTTCAGATCTGAAACCGAACAGATCGTCTGGTGATAATTTGCTTTCGTCAGGTAGGCAAGCAACCTAAATAAATGGTTTAGAATTTGGTATCTTGTCATGCATTTTATATAGGCGCCCTTCTATGGGTGCAAGATACTAACTGCACCCATCAGCCGGGTGGTGCTCTCCCGATCCTCACAAGTAACTTGTAACTATACAGGAAATGAGAATCTTCTGAAAAATAATCTACGACAGGAATAAAAGCATCTCTTCCTGAAGGAATTTCAGATGATTGGGATATCTTGAGGTTGTTCATTTGAATCACTATAAAATTGATTATTTAGAAAATCTATGGTCACAGTTTATGATTTCGAGCAAATAGTTCAGCTATTCAAGTCATTATTAACACACATTTGACAATCAACACAACCGTCTTGTTTCAAAAGTAACCAACAATAATATATTTTTCAGGTAACAGCTGTCAAAATTCCAACTAGTGGTGTTAAGAATTGGTTATTTTTGGAAAATATCCTGAATAGATTAATAATCAAGGTTGATTAGGTCAATTCAAACTCCTTTTCGATTTTTCGATACGGACTTTTCGTTTATAAGTTACGGCGGGTATAAAAAAACCTATAAAAATTACAACCCTCAATTGCACTTATGCAAAGCCAGGGTATATGACAAGTTTACTATGATATTCAGCATACTTCATCAAAAGTTGAATGATTACAACAAATCAAATGCTTTCAGGCAATTGCAGGAACCACTTTCCCCTACAGTGCATATGGTCAGCAACTGAGTTACTGGTATCCCCAAAGTTACCCCGCTGCCAGTTCCACGCAAATACAGGGTCAGTTTCTAGGGGGCATGCAAGGCTATACTTACGGTCAATTTGGTGGTTATCAACAATCATATATGGGGTGAGTATGACACTATTTGAGCAATTATTCAGATTCAGTGGAATTCATTACCGTTGAGGTTGTATTGAAGGCAAATTTCAAGTTGCAAAGCCAAGATTTTACATCAATACCTGAACGAGAGTCGTCCTCTGTCTTCCACTGCAGCTTTCACTGCGTGGCAACTAGATGAACTCATGATCCAACACCAAACAGCGCTGTTTCGATCCGCCAGGCTTGTGAAATACTACGGTCTGAATTTCCATTTTTATCTAGAGCTCCAACAAGTTGTTTCCTAATGTGCAGGGGGTTATTTTAATTTCGACCTTTGCAACCAATGATGAATTCATAAAATTATCCTTCTCACATTTATCGTGTCACGTACGAGCCAGATTTCTGACCCAAGGGCGACTGTTTATCAAACCTTTAGTTTTATGAAATGGGCACTGGGACGGAAGAAGAAAAAAATATTCATTTTGTGAAAGAATATAAGGCTTCGTTTGCAGCTAGGTAAAACGAGATGTCTCCGTGTTAGGAATCACACGTTAAAAGGTAAGACCTCGTTAGCGACAGCTGGTTAACAGATTTTGTTGTTCAAGGCTGAGGTGTGCACATTCGACAATAAAATTTCATTTCCTAAATGATAAAATAGTCAGCAGCTCTCTAACAATAGAATTCACTCTTCATCTGATGCCAATAAGTTTTTTTTCTCTTAATCTAGAAGTCAGGACAGCAATCGATTCTTTAGGTACTTCAAGATCTCTTACTGAATCATTAAATTTCCCTTGCTCGTAATCACTATACATCTCATTACAGATTTCTTCATATTATGATGGTCTCGTAATATATTATAATGTGATAACAGGCACAACCTCTGAATATGTTGAAGGAGTTCAGGCTGACTTGAAGTTTGGATAAACCATTAAAGTTAGCGCCTCGCAAATTAACAAAGAAGTAGCAGTTATGAAAGAGATTTTATTTGTTGTTTCCTTTGCGCGGGTACTCTGCACATAATTCGTCTCCTTTGACTACTTACCGAAGTTTTCATAATTTATTCACAAACAATTTGGTGTATCCAAAGTAAACTGGACTAGTGATTTCAGAAGTTCATTTTGTGAAACTGAGTCAGGAGAAAATATGACAATTGTCGTTTCTGGTAGAATTCTGAGAATACAACTTGGCTTGATGACACTTTGTAAATAAAAAAAAATAAAATTATCAGTAAAAAATAATACGAATCAAAATTGTTTGAGAAAACTGAAATTGAACTTTGGATAGAAGGTTAGGTTAGGTTAGGTTAGGTCAAAAGTGAGTGGGTCTATTCGACCCTCCACCGCAACCCGCAAGGGTTTATTGCAGGGCTTTTTCGCCCTGCACGGTTGAATCATCACTTGAGCGCAAACGTTTGCTAACCTGTTCATAGGGGGTTTGTTCCTCCACCTGGGACTGATTCTGCGTACGCCGCTCAAGAATTTGGTGCAAGACGGTTTCATAAGGTAGCTCGCTCTTACGGAGACGACTCAGTCGTTTCCTGGCTGCACCACCAAACCTTTTTTTTTAGGTTCAGTTATTGGACCAGGAGTTGGAGAGTTCGGAAGTTCTTGCTCCTGATCTAAATTTACAGGGAGGTCAGTTGGAGTCGTAAGCTCGACATCCATCTCCTCTGTAGACTCAGCGTCAGAAAAAATTTTTAAGTTTACTCTGTCCATAAAATTCCCACGAATAGTTAGGGAAAGAAGGTCAATCACGGCAGAGCCCTGTATTACCGTGACAAGGCGATGCTACGACGAGAGGGCGCCCGGTATATGAAGGTTCCTCTCGGCACGGATACACACACCTTTGGATTAAGCCATCATTGGGATGCCATTCAGTTAGGGAATAACAGAACCACAACAAAAAATAAAAAAACATAAAGGAAGAAGAAATGTTACGTTCCTTATAGGAAACAATATCTTGACTAAAGGTTATTGTGAATTCAAAAGCTTTCGAAGCGAAAGAAAAATTTCACGAATATAAAGCAGAAACGTGTATCTAGAGTAGAAAGTTAACAAATGATTCATTTGTATGAAACTTATATCCGTTCAACCCACACACATACAAAAAGTTGGAACCAATTTAGAAAAGACAAAGACTGACCATAGTGGCAGAAGAAGGAAGTGGAATTGAACGACACTGTTGATTGAAATCTAAATCAAATAAGTACTGAATTAGATGACTAATGTTAATTCCTAATCTCAATTAAAAATTGTGTTCTGCTTATAGATAATGCTCCATACCCCAATCTGATATATAAAAATGGATGTTTGTTGGTTGGTTGGTTGGTAAGTGATAAACTTCTACATCGCTCAACCGATCGTGATAAAACTTGACATGTATAAGTAATTTTTCATAGAGAAGGTTTTTAGGCTATCAATTTTTCTGTAACTCGCCACAAGATGGCGCTGTAGAACAATTTTTTGAAAGCACTGTTCCATAACGCTGCGCACGCCTAAGTTCGTTGATTCTGATTCTGTTAAAACATTGGAACAGACGCGATACAGCAACATAGTACTAGTATGGTACAAATAAAAGAATAAATGGAAAAGTGGTGAAGACGACGCAATATTCAATGATGATATGCTCAAAATCAATCTATATTCTGCATCATCTAGATGCAAACCCTATCGAGTTATATGAAGCAATATGCAGTTGACAAAAATCTGAACTATAATTTTAAGTGCATTGAAGTTTTATGTGATGAATTATTCATGCCATCATCTGAGAAAGAATTGAAAAAAGATAGGAATAAACTTAACGTTTCAAAATTTCTATTCATCTCAAAAAACTTTTCTTGATCAAGATCACCATAAATTCACTGGGTGATAGTGACGATGTCAGCTGCAGTGATCACTTCCTTCCCGATTCTGATCTCTCAGGTATTCCACTTTTGTAATGATATTCAAGTAACACAGCATCATTAGATTTTTTCTGGACAGTTTACAAAGCCGCAACACGTGTTTCGCTTTACAATAAATTTCTGAAGAGTGTTCATATTCATATTCATTTTATATGAAATGATAACGCTTGAGGAAGCTATTGTATAGTAAAATGAAATGGAAACACTCGAGGAAATACGTGTTGCATGGTGAAACACGTATTGCGATTTTGAAACTGTCCAGTGAAAATCTTACGATAACCTGTTACATGAATACGTTATGGATTTACATCAAGTATCTGCCAATTCCATCGAATACTTGTATAATCATACAAAATGAAGCCAAATTTTCTCAGTTGAATAAACTGAAAAAAAGAAATTTACGGCTCATTCGGCCAGTCTTTCAATTCCTACCTTCCACTAATAGAATTTTTCATACTGAAACATACATTGCTTTAAACGATCCCACTGCAATGTTATCAGATAGATATTAATTTGGTTCGCTCAATCAGTACTCAGTTGACAGTATCTCGATCCCATACACTGTTTCTTTTCAATTCTTGGGATTACATGTTTAAAGATAAGATTCTCATCGTCCTTTGGCTTACACGATACAATTGAAAACATCTGAGAATTGTATGTGGGGCTGCTATTCCCAAAAATTAATAATGAAATACATTTTTCATTTTTTTTTCTTGTATGTGGATACATACAATTCCCTGTGCATTTTTTCACATCCAAGTATTTCAGCATAAAGTCAAACCTAAACGCATCTTCGAACTATTACGCATATAGTCAATGGGCATACTTGAAGACTGGCTATAAATCAAATCATATATAGAAACAATTCGTTCAGGCAAGTCCCAAATCCCTACACTGTAGATAAATGGATAAATGTCAGTGCAGGATTCTTCATTGAAGTTATTCATGCATATGCTGTTGGCGATACAACTGCCCCAATAGATTTTCAATTATTTGAACACACTTTTGAACCGGTTTTGGGCTGTTTGGCCACTCGTCAGTGCAAGGTAGTGTCTATCATCAACATAAAGTCGATAATTTCCGATAATTGAAAATCGAATTCCTTTAGAGTATCATTCCTCGAACTAAGCTGAAGTATACAACAAACAACAGGTTTGTCGTCGCCCCATTTGCCTGTGAACGAGGTAACCAACTGCATATCCGAAATTTGCCCAATTCCTCGTATAAGGAAAGAAAACGTTTCACATATAGTCAGTGAGCATACTTGAAGACTGGCTATAAATCAAATCATCTGAAGGAACAATTCAATCAGGCCAGTCTCAACTGAACGAATCGATCCTTCAGATGATTCGAACTATTAGCCTTAATAGACGTTTTCAAAAGTTTTCGCAGTTGTAACATTAAACAAAAAAATACAAAATGCGAAATATAAAATAAAATGAGAATCAGAGGCTCCAAACAGAAATGGCGAAGGAAACATAAAAACAAAAGACCAATTCTAGAGAACTGAACGTAGTACAGTTAGAAGACTCTAATTCAATACTTCAATATAATCAAATAATGAAGACACCAGCCTGAAGTTTTTTTAATGTTCATCTATGGAACGAATTGAAATATAACAGCTGTTTTGAAAAGGAATTGAGAAGATACGAAATCTGTATCTAGTATTTCAAATACCATTTCCAAAGGTATCTGATATTCAAAATCTCGAATGCTTCACTCAAAAATATCTGGTTACTTATATTCTGTAATACCCGATATATGTGTATTCTATTCATATATGGTTTTATCCATTATTATTATTATTATTAATTTAGCAGCGGCTGTCACCAGATGTAGATTTCTCCGCATCAAATTTTAAATATAAAGGCAGGTCCGAAAAAGCGGTCCGTGTACCTTTTTGAGATGGTTTTCCTTTTAAGTTCCACTCCAGAATGAGGCAGGAGACTAATACTTAAGGCTAAGGCCTTTTAACTATCCTGAAATGGTGCGGGACTTACTCAAGTAGTGAGCCATCAAAAACAACAAGAAGCTTCAGATTAGGCTTATATTACAAAAGAAATAACTGTGTGAAAAAATATAACATGAAAATCAATAAAACAATAAGAAAAATGTTCGAAAAGTACGATCAAAATTTTACAAGAAAACACGTCTTGAATAGCTGATTGTCAAATAAAAATTATCTCTTTAACAACTTGTGAAATGTTATATTTCTCCCTTGAGGTAGAATTCTAACTTACACGAAAACAATTACTCTATTCGAGTTTTGCGGAAATTCTGAATTTATAAATTCCAACTTACACGAAAACAATTACTCTATTCGAGTTTTGCGGAAATTCTGAAATCATTATTTGAAATTGCCTGGTTTCAAACCCGTACGTACTAATCGCTATTACACATATGAAAGGGGTGTAGTGTAATTTGTTGCCCTTCTTATATCGACCCCAAGACGCAACAACAATAAGACAATTATTTCAAAATTAAAATGGCAATTATTACAAAATTAAAATGGCATTCTATCTCTCTCTATACCAACATGGGGGTTAGAAAAAAATCTAAATAGACTCAATACTATGCTGGGTTCTGATCTCCCTCTTTGGTACGGTATCCGTGTAAAATATACAACCGTTGTAAGTGCCACCAAACGGAACACCACAATTGAGTCACTACCAAATTCACCGGAATTCCACTATCGAAAAAAAAACCTTTTTCGGAAAGTCTCTTTTTCTCGCGACTCTCTTCCGCAACTGACTTTCGCAACTCCCTTTCGCGACTCTCCCAAATCAACTATCGATCGTAAAGGAATCTTTTCGCAACTGACTTTTCAATTGACTTTCCTGACTTCTCCAAAGAAATTCACTTTCGCGACCTACTTCACGCAACTCTCTTCCGCAACTCTCTTCCGCAACTCCCTCAACTGACCGATCGCCACCGTGCCCATTAACCGACTCCCTAGTATCCTCAAGTCCGAAAAATTGTTCCTAATACTCCTCCCTTGTACCGTCCCATGAGAGGTCTGATCTTTGTTTAATATTCCTGAATTTTTCCATTACCCTTCCTACTCAAGACCCATATCTTCTTTCTTCGAAGTCATTGGTCAGTTTTTATTTCAAATAGATTTTCGGACCCACCTATTCAGATATAGCCGAACTTCCTGTCCACGAAGCTGAAATGCAAAACTCATAGCTTGCATTTTTTGCGTTCCCAGTATTATAGCTCATCAACAGGATACGTTTGTTTAGTCTGACCGAAAGAAACATAATAGGTTCAACAATCATAACTTAAATTCAACGCTTACTCTGTTGAAAAAGTATTGATACCGAAAAACCAAGTGACCGACCCCGTTCTTTACGAATAAAATTATATTTTTCGTTAACTATCGCAATGGCAGTTATTACAATTTCATATACTTTCATGAGGTCTCTTGTTCATCACTGAATTTGTTACAGACATGTATCTTCTACATTAGGGTAACAATATTTTGAAAAACATATATTTTCAGAATGGGTCTTCAGGTGCCAACAGCAGCAACAGCATGGCAAGGTATTCCAAGTCAACCTCAAATACCTGCCACTCCTCAACAAATAACTGCACCCACAGCAACACTGCAGCAGCCAGGTCTCGTTTTTCCTATCCAGCAATACCAAGTAAGTGAGGTCGGTGTATTACCACACCCTTCTGAAATAACAAGTCAGACTGTAATAACGTTGCTTGACTATATTCACCTATACGCAACGCAAGTTGCAAACAATCGAAAGGTGTAACTTTTATTTAGTCTGAGTGCCAGTTTTAGGATGTTTTAATATTTTGTTCTGAATAGATCCATTGCCAATATTCTCATATGTTGCCATATGTTGCCATTGCCAACATTCTTCCAAGATAATAACAGTTGTATCATAATATTTGTTCCAGTCAACTGTCTAAACGTACTAAACGTGTTGATTTTGTTTTGCTCTCTTTGTCAAAAGGTTGACAGAACTGTATGTGTTAGATGATAGAGAAAAAAGTATACTGGAAGTCAATTCAAAAATCAGTGATTAAAAGAGAATTGAAACTTTTTATGTTTTTTACCACATTTATTTGTAAGTAACGTTACTTCAGTTTCGTCCTATAAGTACATTTTCAAACTTATACATTAATTTTGTATGTATATATAATTTTATAAGTTTGAAAATGTCCTTTTAGGATGAAACTGCAATAACGTTAGTTACAAATGGAAGTGGTAAAAACATAGAAAGTTTCAATTCTCTTTTTTTCGTTATGATTTTTTACCACGTAGTAACGGCTACATCCATCAATTTATTCAAAAATCAGTCATCAGTATCTGAAGAAGTTCGTCAGCAAGTGACAGATGAATCTATAAATACCGCAAAACATAACATTTTATGGCATGTGGGATACGAATTTCAGCACAAAATCCCACGATGATACAGCTGAAAAAATACTTTCAAGGATATTGCAGCTCATGTTTGAAAAATAGAAAAACAAATACATATCTTGCTGGCATTCACTCTCCTGTATTGTGAAATTCGTATATCCGCATTATCTTTCAGACTTGATAAATATGCTTGATTGTACGCCACTAGAAAATGTAGCTTTCGATGAAAAATTTTGTAACAAAAAGTCAAGAACATATTAGGAGGTGAAAAATACCTAAACTCAAACAGCAAATGACTATTTATAATTTTTTAGCAATTGTTTTGGTTAATTTTGGCATTCAATTAAAATACTCTGTTAAACCATGAGATTATGCATACAAATAAATCTCATTTCTGTATTAAGTTTCTTGTAATTATTCAATTATATTTCATAAATTAATTTAGAGATTTTTGGCACACAGTCTAATCAGAATTTACACTTTTCAACCACAAGTATAGTTACAAATCAAAGATGATTTTGGAGGAAAATCCTATTTTACTTATAATTTCAGCTCCTCGCGTTGGTGACATTTTTCGAAAGTGAACCAATTCAATGCAGACCTTCATACATTTTATTCATTCACCTAATGTCCACCAGATTGTCACCTTTGCAACAATGCACAGGTCATGGCACGATGAATATAATTTTCATATGTCTTGAATTATATGACAACATGAACATTTCAGGCCATATAGGTCGAAGTGTCCTTTCTAACAAATGAAAAATATATAAGTAAATAAGAGCTGCGGAAATTCGAAAAAAAAACACTGAGTTTTTATATTTTCTGAAGTTTTTGTTTAGAATCCAGGAATAAACAAAATCATATCTATAACTTTTTCTTAAAAATGTTTGTGTTTGCAAGGAAATTAAGATAAACCCACTACTGCTTTTCCATCAAGCCACTCTATTGATAAAAACTATGTAGTTCCGTGAATATTAATTTGCCTAATACAAATATTGATAATTTATATTAAAATGTAAATATAAATAATTGAGTCTCTGTACACCATGCCCAAAAAACCATCTGAGAAGTCATCCATTTGAAGTGTAATCGATATTCTTTGTTCAATGATACCCTGGATACTAGTGCATACCCAACGTAAACCAATTATGTTTTTTGTAAATGAAACGTAAAAAATAGATCTTCAAAATGTAGCTTTCTAAAGCAGCTGCGGGCTTTTCTCCCTTCCAAGCTCTTCCCGAACAAGCTATTCATCTAAACACAACACCCTCTCAGGTTCAACCAATGGCCTGGTGTAGCAATACAACTACCATATATAAATTCAATTCATCACTTTTGAAATATATTTTCATAACATAATTGATATTTTTCACGAAAATTTTGCTGAATTCGAAAAAATTACCGCGTTCAATATAAACAAATTGAAATATTTGTTTGTTGAACGCGTTCAGAATCCATGATTTCATCAACAGATTCACCACATCGAAACAATCAAAATATTCTCTTCACTTTCGATGAGTATACAATAATATACATGGAGGTTCATTATTGCATCAAACTTGCCTCTCCAAAATACACATAATTTATTTTGAAGAATATATATTTGTTTCATTAGTCGCTTGTTTCAAATTACGATGTTTCAATGCCTCATCAATGTTTTATTGTACGAGTAGATTTCAATAGTCACACTTTTTCACGTAAACATGGCAATTCCCATATGAAGCAAAATTCAAATTTTCCTCCCAGTTTATTTTAGGTACCTAATTTTGTAATAAATTTTCAAACAGATATTTTTGCAAGATTCACAAATAATATGTTTCCGAAATCCTGTTAGTGTACCACTAATGATTCATTTTGAAGTTTTCATGTTATCATATAATTAATGACAGATTCATCAACATATTCATTTATACAATGTGTTCAATTCAAAAAAGACCAGCCTAGCAAAAATCAGAAACCATAAAAAATACAAAGTCGGTTAAACTAGGAAGAAGTTTTCCATTTCAGAGCTCAGTTAGATAAAGTTTTGGAATTTACTTATTGAAGTTGGAGGTACTGAATTTGGAGGTACACTTGTGCGCTAGTGGATGCAAGCTATATACTGTATATCATCCAGTGGTGCGCTTTTAAACGCAATATTGTATATCCACCATACCGCTCCGCGGGGTTGAGTGCCCTGAGAAGTACCTCCGCACGGTTAGTAGTTGTAGAAGCTAGAATCTTGTCCATCCACCACCGCTCACTTCGCGGTCCTCAACCTTCTGCTTGGTACTTCAGTGAGATTGAAAACAAACCTGTTTTGGTTTGAAGCCAGCCTCTGGTGTTTCTACTCCTCATTGTCTGTTGCTGTTTGTTATCCTGACTCTACTGTATACCGTGTGACACAGAATTATGGTACACCCACTTTTTCTCCTTTATTTCTCTAGCGATATTTCTTGCATATGCTCACTAGACGGCACTTTTTGAAATATTTGTAAAACAAATTCAACTTTCGGCTTTTCCGGAAATGACAACAACTTTTGATTTTCAAAAAGGACATCCTATATATTATCACAAGAACGGTTAGGAACCAGGTTTGATGGTGTTATCTCTAATGATGACGAAGATATCGCCATTCATTTTATACATAAGGTCATTGAGTAGGACAAAGAAAATTTTTCTGGAGGGTCCATCCAACTCTCTCTCTCTCTCTCTCACACACTCATTGAGCTTATGGATGGAATAAATGGCGATATCTCCGTAGTCATTAGAGATCATCAAACCTGGTATCGTTGGATTCCTCATGATCTTCCCTAACCGTTCTTGTGATAATATATAGGATGTCCTTTTTGAAAATCAAAAGTTGTTGTCATTTCCGGAAAAGCCGGAAGTTGAATTTGTTTCACAAATATTCCAAAAAGTGCCGTCTAGTGAGCATGTTCAATGTTCCAAGTTTCAGAAATATCGCTAGAGAAATAAAAGAGAAAAAGTAGGTGTACCATAAGTCTGTGTCACACGGTATAGTGTTTGCATGGTGACCCTCTGAGCCTGAATGGTAACGGTGTTATGTATGTGTGTGAGTGTGTGTATGTGTATCGCGGACTATGTCTATGTGTGAGATACCGGTTTTTATGTGTGTGTGTGTGTGTTTGTGTCTAGTGATCATGTGTCGTTATACTAACTGGATCCGCCAAGGCCTCATGTGCTTGTCCCTCTCGAGGAATCTGCAGTCGTCCCTGAACATTTCGTCGTGAAAATCACGCAGCGCTGGGTTAGGGTGTGTGACTTCGCTCGAAGATGTTTTCGGCGTGGTTTTCAGGAGAGCATCCACGTACTGGGAGCTAAGATTCAGATTTCGGTAAATCTGTCGGGTGAATATGTATATGGAAGCATTTACGGCCATGCTTTAATATCGTTCATAGACCTTTGGATCTAAAGTCTGAATGTTTCTATACACTGGCCCCATACAGCATGATGGGGACAGGAATTATTTTGATTAGGAGCAGTTTCACTTAGAGAATCATGTTACTGCGTGAAATAATGAGATAGAGGTATTGGCAGGCGGCCTTCGCCATCGCCTAACTGTCTATCATATAGGACCTAAATGTTGGTTTTCTGTCGAGGGCGACTCGAGGTATATCCGTTCGTCTAAGGAATCTTTTGACCGTTAAAGACGACGAGCCCTTCCGTTTGCGTCTTTCTCTGGGTGAGTTGTATCCCTGGCTCTTGTCGGAGTTGATGTTGATATTCCAGAGATTGGCCTACTCCTCTAATCTGATTGCTTATTGTTGCAGATATTCTGTAACTTGGTGACTGGTGGATCTGGCGAACATTGCTGTGACGTCCGCCTAGAGAGACAACTTTCTGAATTTATTCTCTGGCTAGGGCACGTCTGCCGTGTACACCGAAAAAAGATGAGGTGAAAGAACATCGCCTGGTAGAGACTTGCAATCCTATTCTTCATTGGCATCGACTGGCAGCTGGAAAGGAGTCGATTGTTCTCGTATGAGCAAAACTATCCATTTTAGCCACTAGTTAATCATGCCACACTTTATTGAACGCTTTAGAGACGTCGAACACTTCAAACACTTGAGTGTTTTAGCCTGAATCTATTTCTCCGGTAGAATGTTCAGTTCTTCGGTCTAGTCCTTGAGTTTTTTTCAGGATGATGCGCTCCGCCACTTTGCTCATCGCTGGGTTGAGCTTATCGGCCTGTGATTGTCGGGGAAGGTAAAGTTCTTGTTGGGTTTGGGGATTATGATGACTGTGGCCTCCGTGAAGAAATAT